AGTTCTGTGCTTGGTAAACATGCAAAGCCAGGTCTGTATATTTAGAAGGTACTTAGGCAAGCGAGATCTCCCTGCTCCTGAACTACTGAAATCACTGGAATATTGCAGCTTTTGAAGTGCAGAATGCAGTGGTCAACATTATAGACCAAACCAAAATTCCTATTTTAAGGAATACTGGTGGTTCTTTTCCCCTTTCTAACTATTTCTTCATATGCCAAGCCTGTATAAAAGGGAAGTTGAAGTATGACATCAAAACTGCTGCTGCTAAATGGTGTGTCTACACTTTTAGGCTCAAGGTGTGGTAGTAAGGATGGCTTCTGTAAGGGCACTCACAGAGAATTTATCTGTATCTGTCTTTCTGATACAGCTATATTTTCCTGAAATACAAAACTAGTTACTGGTAGTAGAAACAAGCTTGGAGATCTTGCTGTGCTATGACTTGTGCTATTACTGACGTGGTATATTACATAGACATTGATGGTATAGAATTTGCTAAACTGCTTCTGTAGGAAAAAACCCCTAATTTTTCTTTCACCCTCCTCTACTAAATTAGTATGTTTGGAGAGGGTGAGGAGAGAGGCAGTTGTTTCTATGGAACAATACTTGAGTGAGTCATTCAGTGCAATTGCATAACTGAGAACATCTTGAGGTGAATGTACTGGATGAGTGTGGTACCATTTTGAATTTACTTGAACAGGACTTGTGTTGGGATGAAGTGTGGGGATAGGAGTTGACAGAGAAGCATCCTAGGTAATCCCTAGTCTTAAGGATTGCTTTTATGTTGTTCCTCTAGCTCTTTAGAAAAGGAGCAAATGCTGCGGAGACAGGCAGAGCTGGAATCTGCGCAGAGCCGTCTCCAGTTGCAGGTTTTGACGGACGAATGCAGCAAACTTCGCAGGGAAGTTCAGGTGAGTCTCACGCTACTAATGAACACAGGGTTCCCTTTCTCCTCAACCTGTCACGTTCCCTTAGAAGAGAGAAGACAGGCTTCCAGTTTTAATAAACAGCAAGATTTAGTAAATTCAATTGGTGGCTCATCAGGAGTATTCTAAACATCCCAGGCTGGCGTATTCATGTATGTGACATGACGCTGACTTTGAAGTCTTAGGAACACAAAAAAAAAACTTGCAAGTACAGCTTAGTGGTAGAGGGGTTTTTTGGGTGCTGGTGTTGCAGGTTCTTCCTCAGGTTTTGTGGTTCCTCCTCAGGTTTTGTGGTGCCTGGCAAGGCCTGGTAATACAGCACCAAACTTATTCTGATTTTTTTGGTGAAGGTCACTCAACGTTCTACTTAAGCACCTTCTGGTACCATGCGACCTGGCCTGCCGTTAGGGCAGGCTGTGTGCATGGGCTGAACAGCTGCTGAGAGGCACCTCTGTTCCCTTAATACAAATTACTGGAAACAAATGACTGGTGCTAAACAGCTCGCTCCTTTCTGGTGTATGCAATGCTGCATAAGCATAATTTCATAACCTATCACATCTACTTCTGCAGGATTTCTATAAATTGTGGACTTCGGTGCTTCCAACTGAATTATCAGGTGTGTTCTGCCAGTGCTATGTTTTCCAGCAGCCTGTTTCACAGCCAGTTTGCTGTTGTATGAAGTAGATGATACCTGATCTCTCACTGTCTAGTAACTTGCTTAATTTTATGCTTTTCTCTACTTCTGGATATTATTTTTTTTATAGCCTTGACTATCCATGTCTGTACATTAAGCAATATCCTCTTTGCTGAAGTCTTCCTGTGTGATGTAAGAGAAGGCTTTATAAATTGCTTGACTAAGTTCCTGTATGAAGCTGTGTGCTCATCAGAGCTAATAAGAAAATTGGTCCACTTTAAACTTTGGCTTACAGAAAACGTGAATAAGATAAAACCACAGGTCCATAATGTCTTCCTGTAATTCTCTTGGTGTTAAATGATAGAGTATCCAGTCTAACTGAATTGAAGTCAGCTGTTATAAAGATTAAGTACCCTGTGTTCTTTAAGCTCTGTTTCAGTATTTATACTGCATTCATCACTGTCCTGTAGTGGTTAATGTGAATGCTGGAAGCAATTTTAAGGTGCTTGTTTATACTATGAATAAACTGAAAGTAAAACAATTTGCTGGGGAGCAGAAAAT